CTCGCAGCAATGCACTCCATCTACCAAAGCATCTGAACAACTAGCACATATATATATATAGTGTATATATATATATTTGCATAATATATGATTGTGCAACTATATGCACATATGACTTCCAAACCTCCATTGTTTCCTTCCCACAAGCCAACTTGTCAAGTTATGAGCTGCTCTACGCATGTTTATCAAAAGAGCAGAACCTACGCAGCGTGATCGCTAGCTCCTCGGTGCGTGGGCGCTTGGTCGGAGGCTCCAGTACGTCCTGGTGAGAACGAGAGGCGGAGTACTGGTCCGTCCATTCATACCAGAACGAGATCGTGGAGACCGTGGAGAAGAGGAAAAAGAGGAAGGGACCAAAGGGAATGTTGCGGAAGAACATAGATGAACATAGAACTTTGGGATACTTTACAGGAAGTTGGGAAGGGAATGTTGCAGAAAATATCGGAACATACTTCATTGTGCGGCGTGTTTGACCTTTCCCCGTCTCTTCTCTTCCTTGACAACGCTGTAAAAAAGCTGCTCCTAAAACCGAAAATGATTAGCCACAAAAATACACCATGTATTGCGGAATGGAAGAGGCCTTCCAACTAAGAGAAGGAGAGGACGCCTCTGATGTTCAGAGACTTGTGCCATGGCAGGAGGGCTATTGGGAGGTTTCTTGGTCAGTTCGCGCAAGAACTGCAAAGCTGCAGTCCTCGACAACCTTCACCTAAGTAGTGCGAATGGATCAAAACATGATCAAAATCTATCATCCCGCTTCCATCACTGCTCAGGCAGGTGCTGGCTCCACGTCTGCCATCACAGCCTGCCATCACAGTCTGCATCGCCAAACGAATCCGGCAGGATGCCGACAACACCAAGGGTATTTTTCCAGCACCACGACTATGCCTGCCTTTTCTGCGCACGATCGAAATGGAACACGACTATGGCATGGCCATGGCGCCTCTGCGTCTGTTGCAGGTGTCTTCAAGGCCTTGCGGGCGGACATAGATCCCAAACAGGACCAAAATACTCATACATACATACATATATATATATATATGGTACCCCCCCCAAATGTCCATATTTTTTAACATTTTACTGGTATTTGCAGGGATTGTGGGGGTACCATATATATATATATATAATCCTAAAATCCTAAGATTTCAGCACTAGTCGGAAATGGCGGACGTAAACTTTCCAGTACTTAGAGAAAATTTTAAAATATTTTAAACTTTTCTCAGAAGTAAGAAGCAAGAAGTAAGATTCTCTAGGAGAGTTCTGTGCAATCTTACTTCTTACTTCTTACTTCTGGGAAAATTTTAAAATATTTTAAAAATTTCTGGAATTCTCTAAGTATTGAAGTCTTCACCGTTTCTGGAGCAGCCGGTTAATCTCAAAGGCATTTTTGCATCCAAAAACCGGCTTCATGGCATTCCATGTGTCTGGGGAAGTCACGGTCTCCAATGACAAGGCGAACCTGGTCCTTAATTTGAAGGACCCAGTGACATACCTGCTCGACATGAAAGCCTTGTGGGATCGCATTAGCACCGGAGAAATTGGTGTGCATCCCACTCGGCAACCGTTGGACAGAACCACTTTGGGAACTTTGATTCACAATATTCAGCGGTCTGCCGACTTGAAGCCTATTGGCCTCAAGGGAGCATGGAACCCAAAAGCTGAAGACACCCTCATCCGCATCTTGGCGTCTCCGAAACGCTGCCGTGGAGGGGGACAAGCATCAGCACTTGCATTGCCTCCTGTTCATCCACAAACACCTCAACAAGCACCTCAACTCATCTAAAAAGTGTTTTTGTCGTCTTTGCATAGTTTCCACTCAACCTCCCATGGGTAGACCGCATCGCATGCCTAAGGCCATCTGCAATCAACATCATTCTGGCTCATTCTGTATTCCTGACCACTGTAAATACTAGTGCAAGCCGAAAAAATGTGGACTTTTGGGGGGGGGGGTAGCATATATATATATATATATATACGCCGACCCCAGGCTAAGCCGGGAGGCGCTCGGGGCACCGCAGGGTGGAACGCTCTCCTTTGTCCATCCACTCTGGAAAGGTTCTTGCGGGGACTTGACCTTATAATCAGGCACCAGGGTGATGGCCCATTCTAGTCCATTTTATAGATAGAAGGTGCCTGTAGAAGGTGCTTCATCAAAGGGGCCCTCTTTCTTTGAGTTCAAGCAGGGTGCCGTACCCCC